CCTTCTATCGTCTATATCCTCCAGGTTTACCAGAACGAGACAGACGCCTCAGAACATGACAGGCTTTTGGCCGCCATGTCCTGTTCTGAAGAACCCTGGATACTCAACAAGTACGTCATATCGGTGTTTTTCTTGTTCATATTACAACGCCATGCGGTCATTGGACATTTAATTTAAACACTTAACGTTAAAGCGGGTTGACAAAATGAGTTGCTTCTTGCTATCCACAAATGGAAATATTGGTCAAAAAACGACATTAGGGTCACATTTGTAGATTTTCTATTGATTCCATATTCTTTAAGTATAACCTGTCTTTTATTATTTCAAACTTATAAATTGTACAAACTTCACATATAAGCCTGATGTATCTATTTCCTTAAGGTTTAAAACCGAGAAGTAACTCATTTTGTCAGCTCGCTTCAATTTAAATGGTCTTTTCCTTTCCCGTCTTATTTGTTTTAGTACGAGGTTTACGACATTTGCAATGCATTGAGGTCATAAATGTGACGAAGATTAGAGGTTTTGCAAGAAAGTAACAAACATAAAAAGAGGGAGGAGAGACAAGCACGATATAATGTTTGATAGGGAAGAAGGAGAAAACCACAGCATAGCGCCCTCCAATCACCCTTTTTTCCTTCCTATAAAATGTCATTGCGGTAATCTCTCTTTCAGTTTAAACTCTAACGGTCGTTTCCTTTCTTACTGAACCTTTCACGTTCATGTTCCTGTACATTTAAACTTTTAAAGCCATCCCTTTACTTTCCATTTAGAGTCTTAATACGTTCATTTATTTTTCTTTCCATTTAATTTTAAACTCAGTCTTACAGTACAGTCAAGTTGCAGTCCATTCCTTTTTAAACCCTTCACTTTCTCCCCTTTCGGTAAATGCTTCCTTACACTTCTCTTTTTCCATGTTCAACGTCACCACCACCACCATCATCATCATCATCCTCATCCTCATCATCATCATCATCATCATCATCATCATCATCATCATCATCATCATCATCATCATCATCATGTTTTAAAGTAGAAAAAGTATACTCTCTTGAATAGAGATTTCTCGTTTAATAAACGTTTCGCCAATAAGACCTTATCAGGAACATAGTATCTGAGAAGAAAAAAAACGAGTGATGACGCCATAGCAACAAAGCGTTCACTATAAGTTACGCATTGGTGCGATTTGGAATATGGGAAAGAGTCGGAGTTCGGAAAAAGAAAAGCTAACTCGATACTGCCATGGTCCTAGCTGAACGTATAGATACGTTAAAATTGGTTGCACATAGTCTTGAATGCTCACGCAGAACTGGCAAAGATTAAATTTGGAAAAAAGGGGGGTGGGTAGATGTACAATCAGATGCAACAGCACAAAGAAAGGAAACCCAAAAGTAATAAAAGTCTCACCACATCATGTTTCAAAGTAGAAAAAAAATACTTGAGACTTGAATAGGGATTTCTCTATTAATCAGATGCTCGTATAAGCCTGGATGTTCAATGTTTTGCCAATTTGAAAGGCTTCATCAGGAACATAGTATCTGAGAAAAAAATGAGTGATGACGCCATAGCAACAAAGCGTCCACTATAAGTTATGTTTTTGATGCGATTTGGACAATATTGGAAAGAGCCGAATTTCGGAAAAGAAAAGATCATCATCATCGTCATTATCATCCTTTTTCTCCGCCCCATCCCCATCTACATCCCTCTCCTTTTTTCATCCTTTCCCCTCTTCCTCCTTGCTCCAACCATTACATTTGTACTTAAACTCCACAACATCAAATTTATCTCCAACTCGTCTCCCCCCCTCTCTCTCTCTCTCTCTCTCTCTCTCTCTCTCTCTCTCTCTCTCTCTCTCTCTCTCTCTCTCT